ACGGGCTCTCCACACCCCTTCTGCCCCCCCCCCCCCTTCCCAGCCGCCTCTCCGTTGCAGACAGTAACTTCGTGCTGGGCAATGCCCAGGTGCCCAGCGCCTTCCCCGTCGTCTACTGCTCCGACGGCTTCTGCGACCTGACGGGCTTCTCGCGGGCGGAGGTGATGCAGCGCTGCTGCGCTTGCTCCTTCCTCTACGGCCCCGACACCAGCGAGCTGCTGCGGCAGCAGCTCCGGCGCGCGTTGGACGAGCACCAGGCCTTCAAGGGCGAGCTCATCCTCTACCGCAAGAGCGGTGGGTGGTAGCGAGGGCGGCCGGGTCCCTTCCGCAGTCCTTCCGTACCCCTGCGACCGTCCTGCCCCGGGGTTGGGGGGCAATGCTCCGTCAGCCCGGGTGTTGCCCCCACCGGTAGGTGTCCCCTTCTGGTGCCTGGTGGACGTGGTGCCCATCAAGAATGAGAAGGACGAGGTGGCCCTGTTCCTCGTCTCGCACAAGGACATCACCAGCACCAAGAGCCGCTCAGGCGCCGACAGCACGAAGGACACGGGTGAGGGGATGGCGAGGGGGAAGACGGGACCGGCTGGAGCCCGCCGTGGCCACCATCCCTCCCATCTCTCCCGGCAGGCGGACTCCGGCGGTTCAGCCGTGCAGGAGGGAAAGGCTTCAATGCCAGCCGGCGCCGGAGCCGGGCGGTGCTGTATCACCTCTCAGGGCACCTGCAGAAGCAGAGAAAAAGCAAGCACAAGCTCAGAAAGGTGGAGCTGGGACACGTGTTGGGGCTGGGGGACACGTGTCGGGGCTGGGGACAGGGCATCCTGGCTGGGAAGAGGCTGATGCTGTAGATGTGGTGGCACGAGGGCTGGGGACGAGGTGCTGCAGCTGAGGGCAGGCTGTTTCCAGGGTGTCGGGGGACAGAGACAAGGTGTTGTTGAGGTTGGGGACAAGGTGTCGGGGGTCGGGACAAGGTGGCTGGACTGGGAAGGGGCCGGAGATGAGGTGTGTGGGTTTGGGATGTCCAGGCTGAGAAACACACCTAGGCTGGAGACAGGGGAAGGAGAGGGGTGGGGACAAAAAGTGTTGAAGTTGGGGACAGTAGACAGTGTGTCTGGGCTGGAGACAGGGTGTCGGGGCAGGGGACAAGGTGTAGGGGCAGGGGATAGGGCATCTAGGCTGACCCCCCCCAGTCTCCATCAGGGCGTCTTCGGGGACAAGCCCTCGCTGCCTGAGTACAAGGTGGCCGCCATCCGCAAGCCCCCCCTCATCCTGCTGCATTACGGGGCCTTCAAGGCGGGCTGGGACGGGCTCATCCTGCTCGCCACCCTCTACGTGGCCGTCACCGTCCCCTACAGCGTCTGCGTGGGCGCTGGTAGTGAGGAGGGGCTGCCGGCCGCCCGCGGCCCCCCAAGCGCCTGCGACCTGTGCGTGGAAATCCTCTTCATGATGGGTAAAGCCCCCCCACCTCCCCATGCACACCCTGCCCCGTGCCAGCTCAGGGCTGGCAGAGGCCGGGAGGACTCGGTGCACTGATGGCGGCCCCACTGCAACCCAGACATCATCCTCAACTTTCGCACCACCTTCGTCAGCAAGTCGGGGCAGGTGGTGCTGGAGCCCCGTGCCGTCGCTCACCATTACCTGGCCAGCTGGTTCCTGCTCGACCTCGTGGCCGCGCTGCCTTTCGACCTGCTCGCCGCCTGCCAGGTCAATGTGGTAAGCACTGGGATGCGGGGACACCCCTCCCCCCCCC